TAGGCCCAGATGGTTAAGAGAAAAGTGAGTGTGTCAGACGCAGCGCAAGTCTGCTATCACTACAAGCTAAATCACGCGCGCAATTCATCGCTTGGCACCCGCCACTCAGTGTGTCACTTGGTCGACACCGGAATTCACGATTGTCGAACTGTCAAGACAATAACCCCACCCCCTCTCCTCTCGCTCAGCTTAACTATTTATGATCCAATTATGTAGGCCCCATGACCTCCAGTTGTTGATCCGATATGCCCGCATTCGTTTTCGACTTAGATGTTTAGCATTCTCGCACACCGCTTCCCTTCTTTTGGCGTGGTTACAGATCCTACTGTGTGGGTGCTGCCTTTCATCTAACTCTACGAACCCACTTTTCTTCTCTTCCCTCAGGTGGTGTGCCTTTTCCACAGCGATATCATAGGAAGTAGCTTGCATGATGATGAGAAGGAGAACAGTGATCTTGGTGGTGGTGGCGAAAGCAAGGACTCCTCCGACTCGCCCAGTAATGCTGATACTGAGGACAAATCTGACTCCGACTCTAACAGCAAGCGACGAGAACATTCAAGCCGCGCTCGAAAGCGCACACGTGTCTCGATCAAATCCTTGTCAAGGGCTGGCTTGGATTCTTCTGATGGAAAAAGGCTCCTTGCTTCAATGAACTCTTATGCAGGAACAGGATGCAAACAAGGTGTTCTGAAGGATTCTATCAAGGTTCTTAAGTCCGGTTTACCTGCGGTTTCTACAGCTCATTAAGAATCTATGTCAGATCTTTTATACTCTTACTATTTTACTATCGCATTTTTGGTGTTCTTGTGTATATATACACACTTTATATATAAATGTATTCGTACAGATTCTCTCATCTTTTTTTCTCCTTCAAATGCATATCACGAGACAGAGTCGAGCGGGGATCTGCCCGTCTTGTTTTTCGTCATCCAGTGAACTATTTAGAAAGTCATCTAGGACTTGGGATAATAATGTCTATCTGTCAATAGTTAGGGCGTTTGACTCTGATCAAAAAGGTCGCGAGTTCGTGGCTTGGATGGGACAACACCTGGGTCTGGGTATGCCTGACTGATGACGGCTAATACGCCAGAAATGGCTATCCCAGTCTCCCTGGTCTTTGCCGGCAATACTATCTGCCTACCGCCAGCTGTTACGGCTATCAGGGCTGCTGTCGAGGCCCAAGGCAGAGACGGACAGATGAATTCTGTTAGCGGTAATTTGAACTTTCATCAACGAGTGTCAATATCTGCCCGGTTTTCATGCCAGTTGACCTTCTAGCGCTATTTTATTTAAAAGAAAGCTCAGCGGCCTGTTATTTCACCCTCCGTGGGTCCGCGAATTTCAGTTTGCTTGCCGGGGTTGGGTATGTATGTTACTGCGTCTTTCAGACCGGATGTAGAGTGGCATTAGGCGCTGGGCGTTATTTTCGTTGCGTTTATTTCAAGATTGGCATGCACGTTGAACTCTACCGTCAGTAGTTACTTGTGCGGGACTGTTCTGTATCCCTGGCTACATTGCACTGGTTAAAACAGTATCCAATAAAATCAACTCCAGGGGAGCACTGTTGCTTTCCTTTACCTTCAGGAATTGGAGGTCTGGAGGTAGGAGTTGTCCCGTGTACGAACTACCTGAGCTTTAATACTATGCTGGGCATTTATACGATGTAGTTATCGTTCTACGTCTGAGCAATCACTAACTTTTTCAGCTAATGTCTACACTGGTGGGTTCGAGTACGAATCGGGTACCTCGGAAGAATATGGTTATAATTCCGAAGACCGGCTATATCCAGTTGTTTTGTGGGACTCGTGCATGCGTCAGTCCATTTGTTGCGGGTAGTAGTATCGATAAACAGAAGGTTTCCCAAAATCGCGAGTTTTGGAAGACTGAATGAGTTGAAATAACTTTACTGAGCTGAAGTGCCTTTACAGTATCCGCTGCAGGAGCCGTGTAGGTGCAAAAGTGGGGATGTGACAAGTTCAGGCTGTGGAACGAGTAATCAATCGGCTGCCGCCAATCATGTGAGGCGGAAGTATCGATTACCTATGAGTGAATGCGCGTATGAAGTGGCGAGCGGGTCGATAACGTGAGAAAAGGCCGATAGCACGCGGATTAGATGACCACGCACGGGTGTAAGCCCTGGCAGGGCGAAAGCAGAGTCAGCGCGGCAGGTTCCCACACCTTTACTACAGGCTGAGTGGAGTCTTTTGTTCCGAAAATGCACAATCGTTTGCTTATCGAAGGCATATTATGTCTTTTGGACATTACCCTTGTGGTTATCGATAAGGACGTCACCGAATTTCCTTCCCGGTGTCCGCCGCAGTGCTCAGCTGAGTTTAAATCCTTCGCTCGCTTAGACTGTTCAGAGTCGGCGGTTGATCTTACCCTTCCACACCCCTGTCGTTGTTTATTGTAAAAGTAAACAGCTGGGCACGGTCTGTCGCTGTACGATATAATCTGGATCTCGGCATCTATTCTGGTGGACTCCGAATGACCGCTTTTTTTACAAATTATGAGCCATCGAAGGCGTTAAGAGTGTGCGGACAATATTTGAAAGTTACGAGTCAAAATGTAGTAGATACTTCCGTGGACTTTGAAGTATCTGAGCTTGTTATCGGCTCAAAATCAGTGGATGGGAAATATTTAGGAAAAAAACATTTTCATATCAACGTGCTGAGCTTTCGACATTTAGTGTGCACCTTTAAACACTGAGAACCCCTCAGCTAATCCTTCTGGGAGTATTTCGATGCGTTTATAAACCGTGGGCAGCTGAGTCGTGGAGGGCAAGGGCAGTTGTGTTGCGGGTATTTTTGCTTTTTGGAGGACAAACTGACATAAGTGTGCGTGGTGAATGTGTAGCTTTTTTGGAATTAGCAACAATCTACATCTGATGAGCCATATTGAAAGTACTGTTTGTGAGGTCTTCACGTGTGCATTTGCAATGGCATGCAGCTGGTCTCCATAAACAAAAGTGCCTTTTAAGCATCAAACAATTTATTGGAATTTAGCTCAAAGTTAGTTGAACTCGACCCTCGGCCTAATGAGGGTTAGCAAGAGAATCTTGCACATTTTAAGCTTACTAGTCGGACTCCTTCCACTTAGCTTCTATCGCGAATGGCAAACAGAGCTTCTGGAGGCACTTATTTCCGTGTTACTTGTTTAAGTGGGCGTCGTCAGATTGGATTGTCGTTAGCCCGTCTATCTTATTTGCAAAATGGAAGGCGAACATTCTGATTTTTCTTATTGTGGTCTAATGCCCTCACTTAACCAGGAGCAAACACGAATCCGGAAATTTTACTAGCACAACCATGAATTCTAGACCGAGTCTCTAATGCAGAGTAGACTCGTACGTAGGCCTTCCTGTGGACACGACAGACCGATTACGCTCATCCCCATTTGCCTGCATCTTCTCCGTCGCAGTGAACTAGGTGCGAGTTTGGTACTCAAAAGTATATCGCCGGCTCACTGAAAAATCAATCGGAGGTTACATCTCTGCGTGTGATTGGCTCGTTGGTGATGACGGTAAAACTGGTTGATTCTGGAATTCTTCGTCCCCATCTCTCAAGTCCTCGTCAATAGTAATTTTTAATTGCATTTTGCTATAATACAGCGTGTTTGTTTTCTTGGTCGGGAGTCTAAAAGGAAACGGAAAGACGGTCCTAAGTCCAGCCAACTAGATGGACTCCAATCCAAAATGATTCAGTTTATTTATATCAGCAAAACGTCAGTATGCAGTGAATTACGGTACTAGGGTTCATCAGGCCGAACATTCTTGGACCGATTAAGTGACCTGACCATTTATCCAAATGAGATGACTAAACTGGAAGATATACGATATAATTATTTTCCGCGAGCAAGTAGATTTGTATTGCAGCGCTCTCCTGCTAGGCCTGTTTATTTCTCAAGTAGCATTTATGAGAAGCCGTCGCAGTGGACAGAATGACTGTTTTATTAAACCCCTCCCCCTCCCAACGCTCTCAGCAATTTTGCGATTGCAAACTTAAAAGAGCAATGCGTCCATGGGGATTTGTTTTTTGGCATTAGAGAAGTTTTTCGTGTTAAATTTGTTCTTCATAGCAGTAAAGTGAACCAATATCAATACCTGCAAATTCTGCAGCAATTGTATGAAGTTGTAAGAAAAAAAACAACCTGTTATGCGACGATCGGGGGACTGGCTGCTTCATCATGACAACGCGTCCGCCCACATCTCTTTCAGTTTTTTTGTTGCGAAAAGCTGCCTTACAACAGTTCCCCCTCCCCTATTCACCCAAACTAGCCCCGCTGACTCTTTATTCCCAAGAAAAGCCTGAAGGCGTACCATTCTCAGCAAATAGAAGAAATTAAGAAAAAGCATCATGGATAGAGAGGGAGGTGTGCCGATCACCGGAAACATAATCTTATTCGTCTGAGCCTTCGGACTCCTAGTGGAGTCCACGGTCAGGGATAAAAGCGTCAACGAAAAACAAGCAACAGTTATAGGGGCCAGGGGCCAATCAACTACCAGTACCGTCAGTCCGGAGATGCCTGCGCAGGGTGTTGTATGTCGGCGCCAGATCAATAAATCGATTGACTGAGTTCTCATCCGAGGCCCAGGCTTCAATCAATTCTTGGACTGCCTGAATTCATGAAAAACGATCATTGAAGACACAACCCTCGTTCAGGGGACTTAAAAAATGTTTCAAAGGTGGAAAACCTGTTGCTAAGCCCAAATGCGCGCGTATTGTCTACGAGAGTGGTCTGAATCGACTGCGGTCACCAGGATGTCATGGCTCCCGGAATTCCTACTTAGAATTGCCGTCAGCTTAAGCAAACAAAATGGTGGCTCAAATGTGTCAATTAGCTTTACCAGAATGCATATATATACGAACTGTTTCTGTTCGAGGTTAAGCCCAACACATCAGGTGGCTGAGCACGCTAAGCAGAATCTACGCTATCCAATTTAATATCTTCATCAGCAATTGCGTCAGCCGGTTAGTCGGGTAAAGTAATAATGTAAGGAAGAAACTGTGTTTCTACATCCGTTTTTCTTGGCTTATGACGTTCATCACTGCGCCTACTTGGGGCTGTTTTTCCAGCGGAGCATGAGACGATTGACTCACAGTCAATTCATTCAGGTGACCTGCATTGGCAATGCGCAACTTCAGATTCCACTGCTTAGTCAACTGAGCAGCCATGAGCGTAGAACATGCTCTGTGATACAAGTACTGACACCGAAAAAAAAACCAAGCGGAGGGGGGAGTTGTACAATGACAGGCGCTTATCAGGAAGGACGAGAACAGCGGCTTTGGCGTTTTTATTTGCTGTTCATTTTCGAGCGAATGCTGGTCAAGTTGGGGACAATTTAGATGGTGAAGACAAACGCAAAATTAAACCAGGTTTTGGTCTGATATGCTTAATTATCTGAAAGAAATCCCAAATGTTTTGAAGGCTCCAGATGGCGGTCGCGGTTCCGCCGCTGCCGACGAGGTCCGTCGTGAGTGAGCAGGATAGTGACAATGAACCACTGGCTTTACCAACTTTGAAGCTGTGATGACCATGCACATTCCCCAATTTGGATTTCCAAGAAATTTCCCTTTAAAACAAATTGTTTTTCAATTCTTGCATACTGACACAAAGGGTGTTTTATTGTCTCCGTGAAAATGCAAAAACATTTTTTGTTGTACATAAGTTGTACACTGTAGTCTATCGGTCAATGTCATTTCCTCTAATGAATATCCTGTTATCCTTACTTGAGATCCTGATTTTTCGTA